GTTTTTTTAACAGTTTCAATTCCAGGATACCTTATTTGTTGCTTTTGCTGCTTGACCCAGTCAACCAAGACTTTCTCCTCTTATCTTCCTCCTGCACATTCTTTTCCGGTCAAGTTCTTCTTTGTGGTGGCCATTTCTGACCACCACTACAACCGCCTTCGGGAAAGGGAGTAATGGCCAGCTGGGGAGGAGAGATGCGGCTCTCCTCAACCCTGCTGGCAGTCTCCCCCCTCTTCACCACCTCTATGGGGTGGCTTAGCCCCGAAACCAGCCGGCTCAGGGCACTCCAGCGGCGAGCACGGATCGAAGCCTCGCAGAGACGAGGTTGCGGTCTGTCACTGAAGAAGCTCAAACCGGAAGTCCCAAATTGCATACGATTCTTTTCAAACCTTAGTATTTAGTTATTATAAAATAATCATAACAAATAAAGTAATCTGCCTTTTTGCCACTCTGTTCAGGAACAAAATGAAGTCTGTCCCTGAGGAAATTGGGACTGTTAAGCCACCTGGGGCTCCTGCTTCTCTTGTGCGATTGTTTCCTAGGCAGCATCTCTTCCTCTTGCTTCCCAAAATCATCTGCACATTCCCTTACAAAGAGTCAGTGTATCACAATGCTGGTCTAGAAACCAGAAGACAGAGAATCCCCCTTAGACGGGAAAGCCAACTGGCTGACTTTGGGCTAAATCACTTGGAGGCTCTCAGTTCTAGTCTTGCCTTTGGCAAGAAAAACTGACTTGGTGACTGTGGGCCAGGAGAGAGAGAGAGAAAGCTCTAGTCCTGCCTGGGATTCAATTTTTTTTACTACCGGGTCTGTGGGCGTGGCTTGGTAGGCATGTTGTGGTTTGGTGTGCATGGCTTGGTGGGCGTGGCAAGGGAAGGATAAACTGCAAAATCCCCATTCCCTCCCCACCCCACTAACCTGCTTTCCAGCTCCGTTCTCCTGTGCAGGGCAACCAAAGGAGACCCAATCGATCAGCTGGGACTCAATGCGAGGCAGAGAAGAGATGGGGGCGGGGCCAGTCAGAGGTGGTATTTGCCGATTCTCCAAACTACTCAAAATTTCCGCTACCGGTTCTCCAGAACTGGTCAGAACCTGCTGAATGCCACCTCTGTGCCTTAGGCATGAAAGCCGGCCAGATGATCAGGGACCAATCACCAGGAGACTTCTAGTCCTACTTTAAGCATGAAAGCCAGCTGGGGAATTTTAGGTTATTCACTGTTTCTCTCAGCCCAACCACCTCACATGTTTTGTTTTGTTTTTTGTGAGGAAAATAGGAGGAAGGAATATTATATATACTCACTGCCTTGAGTTATATATTAAAAAAAGGAAGGATAAAATAGCAGCAGCAGCATTCTGGAACAGCTGAAACTTCCAACTACTGTATTTCCCCATGTATAAGCCACCCCTTTTTTCCAAAATTTTCAAGCCCAAAAAGTAGGGGGGTGGCATATACAAAGCAGGTACACTTTTTATACGTGAAAAATGCATAAAATAATAAAGTAGGAATAAACTGGTTTTCCAGCAGTATGCTATACTTTTTTGTAAAAATTGTACGTGATGATACGATTACGAGTGCGAGTACGCGACAGAAATGCATACGCTAGGCATCGGCCTGAATGCTTCGTTCCTACTCTCGTTCCGATGCGTAGATTGCTAGCATCGCCCGCACCGCTTTCGGCGTCATGACCGAAGTTGTAGATCTAGACGTCGAATTTTGTTTCTTTGTAAATTTTCTTTCTTCATAACTTGTTTCTCTAATAAAATATTTTTTTCAAAACTTCACAGTCCAAAAATTGGGGGGGTGGCTTATACAAAGGGGGTGCTTATACATGGGGAAATACGGTATTTTTCAAGGCAGACCCATGTAGAGGGAATTTCACTAGTCCACATGTGAGGTAACTAAGGCAGGAGTGATGAATGAGAACCTCAATCTTGACACACTTGCCTTCCGATTTCACTGGCTCTTCAACTAAGAGCTAAAAGTCGCAGAAGTTCCTAGATGCCTTGTGCTCCTAAGTGGAAAACATCCCACAACAAAGTTAACTTTTATCATCCCTAGGAAAATTTCATCTGTTATGCAATGTAATAACAAGGATAATAGTGCCATCTACTGGCTTTTTTCTCCCTCCCCACTGTAATACTGTAAACATTTTACAATACACCATTGCTGCTCATCCATCTCCAGAATATTTCCAGTCCATTAAGGGCTTGATGTGGGAATATAAACCCACAACCAATATAGCAATAGAACAATCCGAATATCCTACTGGAATTCTTCCTCCGTTACAACTGTCCTGACAGAGGATATTCTACTGGAATGGTTGAAACAAAGCAGTCTGTGATATAGATTTGGTCGTTTTGGAGAGAACCTATGTAGCACGCTACAGTATATCCTTCCAGTCTACAGTCACATCAATGGGATAGCATTTTGTTATCCTATACCAAGATTAGTGAATAGCCTGTCCCCATCAACACCCTTTCTGCCCAATAGACTGACTCTGTTAACCGCTTAGAGAGAGCTGTAAAGCATTATGAAGCAATATATAAGTCTAAGTGCTGTTGCTAGATACAAACAGCTAATTCCACTCCTCCAAATCTCGACCCACAAATGATCTGTCCTACATTTTGGTAAAAAAAAAAAATCAGTACACCAAATACAAGCTAGGTGGATATGACCTCATTCACGACCCTCACTCTGTCAAGGACCTTGGAGTACTCATATCAAATGACCTAAGCGCCAGAGCTCACAGCAACAGCATTCCCCAAAGGGCATTAAGAGTTGTAAATCTAATCTTACAAAGCTTCTCCTCCAGTAATACTGGATTGCTAACTAGGGCATACAAAACCTTTCCTAGACCAATACTCTAATACCATCTGTCTGGAATCGCACTGTATATCGGATATTAATACAATTGAGCGAGTCCAGATGTATTTCACGAGAAGAGTACAACACTCCTCTGCTTGCAAGAGAATACCCTACAACACCAGGCTTGAGATTTTGGGCTTGGACAACCTAGAACTACGCCGCCTATGGTTGGACATAACTGTAGTACACAAAATTATCTGCTACAATGTCCTACCAGTCAATGACTACTTCAGTTTCAACTGCAACAATACAAGAGCACACAACAGATACAAACTCAATGTTAACCGCTCCAAACTTGATTGCAGAAAGTACGACTTCAGCAACAGCGGGGTCAATGCCTGGAATGCCCTACCAGACTCAGTTGTTACATCCTCAAACTCCCCACTCCTTTAACCTCAAACTATCCACTATTGACCTCACCCCATTCCTAAGAGGTCTGTAAGGGACGTGCATAAGTGCACAATCGTGCCTAATGTGTGTGTCCTCTTCTCCCCATTTATTTGTACCTATTTCCCGTATTCACATTCATGTTTACTCTTATATCTATTATCTTGTAAGTGATTGAGAAATCAAATAAATAAAAAATAAATAAAATACAGAGTTGTCCCATTTATTTTGGCCATGTCACGCGAGGGAATTCACTGGAGAAAGCAATCATATTGGAATAATTCATGGGAAAAGGAAACTAGGTCTCCAAAGACTATGGTGGCTGGCCTGGCTGCCATCGAAGCTGACACCAGTCAGAGCATAGAAAAACTCAAACAATCTGGAGATGTGGAGGGACCTGGCCCATAGAATTGCCAAGAGTCAGACACGACTGAATGGGTAACATTATCATCACGCTTCAGGAGCAAGTCACACGCCAGTAATTCTACACAAGGAAATGATAATATAGTTGGTACAACTGTCTTTGCATTTACGTCCTCAGAGCTTACTGAATTTACTACTCTACATATTAGTGTATGGCATTTATTAATAAACCAATGACTATTGGTACATTTAATATACAAAGTAAATGGATTTTCTTCTTTGCTCTGTTTGGTTTTTTAAAATATTTTTCTTTGTTTTGTGTTATTTTTTAAAAATAAAGTTTATACGTGGTCTTGTTTAATGGGGGGGATGTTAGTACATTTAGGTTTTTGTCTGGTACAGTGGTTCCCAACCTTTTTTTCGCCCCGCACCCCTAAAGAAATTTCACTCGAACCTCGCACCCCCTGAAATTTAGACTTTAGGAACTACTGAGCGCGTTAAACATATGGTAGGATTGAATCTTTTCAGCTATGTATGTGACGGCCACTAAATAACGATACTTAACTCTAAAATGAAAACAAAGTTAATCCATTGCATAATAAATAAATATGCCAACATATAGCCAATATCCTATTATTTACCTGGACTTTTCTCGCACCCCCTGGAATATCATCTCGCACCCCCAGGGGATGCGAGGACCCCAGGTTGGGAACCCCTGGTCTAGTATTTCATTACTTCTTTGCTTGCTCAATTGCAGCAACCCAGCCATACAATGCACTTATGTTATATAATGCTTTTTATAATGCAATGCCGTAAATAAATGATCAGACGTTGATTACTATACAGCTTCTATAGTACATAATTGCTTATATAAAAGCTTTAAAGCACTTTCTACAAATCAAATTCATAGCAAAGAACAGTCCTTTATAGTCATTAGTCTTCATTATTATTCTATTTATCTTTTTATACCCCGTATGTAACACATATAAAATGTCTGCTTGGGCATAAAATTCAAACCGCTTCTTTGATGTTTTAACAATGTAGTAGGTAGGAAAATTATTTGCTGGCTACCCCATCAGAGATTAAGGCAGTAGGGAAGACATATTGGCTGTTGACACACTGACTTAATGGCCTATTCTGGATTTTTCCCCACTAGATTCCACTAACCACCACGCAATGTAGGAGTTCATTTGTGTGTGTGTGCATATACATTCAAACACAGATATATGCTATAGAGGAAACATCCCAAAGCATACATTTTTTACAGATACGATTTTAGGCACTGTTAAGAAAAAAAAAGAGCAATGTAAGAAAATGAATCAAAATATCTAATTGCCCCCACAAATGTCTTCATAAAATGATGTATAAGTAGTTCAGTTCTTACCGTATCTGCCTGCTGATATTTTACTTCGGGGTTGATCCATTCCTTGCTGATCCGTTTACGATAGGCATTGCACCTTGGAATATATGTACAGCCAACATCTCCCAATTCTGGGTAGAAAATTTCTAGACCCCCCCTGTCAGAAACCAACCATAAAAGTCAATTTGTAGGACCATGTTCATGTCTTACAGCAAAAAATATTATAATAGTTATCACCTTAGCCTTTTTAAAAAGATATTTATTATTCTGGTTTTTATATTTGCAATTGCTGTTTTTATATTGTCTGTTTTATTTATTGTTGTATGCACTGCCCTGATTTGCCTTCGGTGAGATGGGCAACTCTATACATTTGATTAATAATTAAATTAAACTGATTTTTTTTTCTTACAAAAGAGGAAAATTTCCAGAAAACATTGGGTAATAGAAGCAGAGGGCCGGTTTGGTACACTGTTGTAGGCACCATGGTAGAAACTGGAAAACCGTGAGCTCTTAGCCTGCCTTTGGCATAAAACCAGCTCGCTGACTATCATTCTCTCTCAGCCATAAGAAGGAAACAGTGGCAAAGCAATTCTGAAAATTGCAGAGATTTGTCAAGATTTGTCAATGTCTTATCAGGAGTCAAAAGGCGCACATATATGCACATATGCACAAAATAGAAGCAAGGAATAAGACGACTATGGGCCTTCCAGGTGTTGTCTGAAGTAGCTTAAATAATGGGAGAGCCAGGAAGCAGATGCTTCTTCATGCTTATCATTAATATTATTTTACAATTTGTAGGAGTAAATTCAGCAAATGTTCTCTTTTGAACAGCCACAAATCTGGCAATTCTAGTTTCCTCAAATTAATTTTCATTACACAATAAAATTACAATTTGTAATTACTGTCTGTAATGGATGTATCCCTTTCTAGGTGCAAAATGAATTTCTCCTTGATGTTAGTGTAATGCGGCAACTCATCAACTGTAAAAGTAATTCAAATTTACTGGGACTGTTCATTTGTAATTCTGTCATATTATCTCTTGATATTTTGAAGATACAATTCGAAATCACAGCAGACAGACAGACAGACAGACAGAAGGTGAGCTAGGAACTCGGGAATAATGTTTAAAGTACTTATATAAAATAATGTATATAAGGAGAAGCATTTATATCATACTTATTGGATTTATTAGGAGTTAAATCATAATGTAGTTTGCTTTTGGTTTAGCTATATAAACCAAGTTCATTTAACACAAACATATATTTGAAAAGTCCATATTTCGTAATAAACTATTTGATATAATTCAGTACTTCAGACACCTAAAAGCAAATCTGTGCAAATATCGCTCAGATGAGTTCTGTATTTATGTCTAAAAACAAAAATACCCATCCTCTACACACAAGAACATAATAAAAATAACGTTCTTGGGGGTAGAATGGGAGATCAGGAAGGTGTATTTTTATGAAGAATAGAAAACAATGAATGTGTTTATAATTATATAATTATCTTTATTTTTGTTTAAACAATATAGGCTTTCCATAATTATTAAGTTACTTAAATAATTATTAAATAATACAATTATTAAAATGTAAGTTATTTCGGACAAGTATTTGGAGCATGAATTGATGCCATCTATTACCAATTAGTATCATTGGGATTAGTTGATTTTTATTTTCAAGTTATACCATGGATATCTTGGTGCTTTTTATGGATGTTTTATTGCTATTTTAATGGATTATTGTAAACTGTTGAAAACCTCTTTTGATTGCAGCAGTCATTACAAAAGACCTTTGAAAGACTCAATAGTTACAGTAAATAATAATCATTGGTATAGAAGTAGCTTTCAAGGCCCTTTTGAATAATTGGCTTCTTTGGATTAATGGCATGCTTTATATAAGGAATATTTCTGAGTGGATATTACATATTGGCTGATGTACAACCAAGATCAGATGCAGTCATACCCCTGAAGCTGGTGTTGGGGATAATGGAAACAACCTAAGACTATTTTCTAAATCTAATCACAGGGTTGCCTTACTTGCCTTCCATTTGGACTACTACAGTGGAGTAGAATGAAAAGCTACAGTACTTATTCAAGAAGTGCAGGATGAGGAGGAATAAAATAAACGGGAAATATAACACATTTTTGAAAGCTGTTGCCAGGTTTCTTGGGGTGAGCAAGTACTTTTTAGAACATTCAGATCAATTTGAAAGTAGAATTCAGAAACATCCTCCTGTGAAATAAATAAAACAATTCGAAAGTTTCTAGATAGCCCGCTATTTACTACTATCAACTGTCTTCTGTCCTACTATAACTATGTCTACCCCACTTCCAATTCATCAAGGGACTTTATAATTATTATTTTTTAAATAGTTGCAGTGTTATTTCTGATATGAGGAAAGATGGAGACAGAAACTCAAAAGTACACTGACTTCGCTAGCATTTTGAAAAGAAAATCAATAAAATCTTATTTCAGTGTGTGCTTGGTCCTTAGTTTAGTTTCTTTAGTTTTATGAGTGTTTAAGCTTATTGTTGATGTTTTAAAATGACACTAACTGAATTGTTAACTTTTTATTTTTAATTTACTTCTTAAATACTAATTGAATTGCTACTTTTTAAACATTTTCTTTGTTTGACCTTGATATACCCTGCTCAGCGCCTTCTAGAAATCAGCTGAGCCATAAATGTTGTGATGTAATAAATACTGCTTTTCCAAAAATTCTTTCTACATACAATTGACATATACAGAAAGGAGGCAAAATGTTGGATGATTGAGGATCCAATTTACTGATAAAAAAGTACATATCAAAACCAAAGATACCAATGTGAATGTTCATAAAACTATTTCATCTATATACTTCTTAATCAGATATAGGACTGATATTCTTTAAAAATTAGAAGCATATATCAGCTAAATTTAAAAAGTATGTCCTACAGTTTTAACATATACAGTAATTATATGCAGCTACTTCTATCCAGTAGTATCACTGGATAAATGCTTGTCTGTCGGAAATGCATTATTAATACCATGAAAAGGAATAAATATTTTAAAAGAATATTGCCAAAATAGTTGTGGCTATCCCTAGGAAGTTAATTTACTGATGAAAATGTTACTGGTGTTGTATAAAAAATTCGCTTTATGAATGCCATGGAGATGATGAATGAAAATTGGTATAAAATGCCTATACTTATAAAGGAATCGGAGCTTACCTACAAAATATTTTGTCCTCCCTGTCCAGTTTTCTAAAGGTGCATTCTTCCATTATGACACTGTCTTGTAAGACAATTAAAAGAAAAGAAACTGCCAGAAAATAGGAAACCAGAGGCATCATCTTGTCCTGCCAAAAAACAAAATAGTGAAAAGTTAACAGATTCCACCAGACACAACTGTAATTGCAAGCCTGCCTATATTTTTGCAAATTATTTTAAGCAATTCTTTCACCAACAGCACTTTAAATGTATCAGATCCATGAAACCTCATTTTACAGTATACCTTCTAATTGTTAACATGTATTTTATGTTTTGTATTCTGAGCTGGCCTAATGGCTACTCAGTAACATGTTGTTACTAGAATAAATTAAATGCTTTTATACCCTACAGTAGGTTTCCCTCAATTTGAGCTCATCAGAGGGAAACAAAACAGATTAATTTGAACTGTTCTTCCTAATTCAGTAAATATAGAACAATCCCATAAAATGCAAAGAGCTGTCCACGTAGGCCTAGATTTAAAAAACAGTAGGGGTTGTGACTTGACTTTTTGACTTCTTCCCTTCTTGCAGACAAATGAGAACAAATAGTTCAGAAGCCCAGCATTCCTATATATTTTCAAATTTACTAGAGTTTGTTTTTATAAGTAACTCAATGTGGGAAATATACCTAATACTATTTTTGTGTGTTTGTCTCTAATAAGCTAACCTAATGACCATTCTGCAATTCATGTGAATAAATTTCTGATCTACCAGTGTACATGCATAAAAATAAGATAATAAAAGTTTTAAATACTGTAGATGCGACTAAGCCTTCCGATCCTTCAAAATAAATACATTTTCTTTGTGTAAGAAAAAGAAAATCTGTAGAATAGTAAAATTTAAAACTAAGGAATTTATATCACAGAATAAGTGGTCTCATTATGTTTAACTGAACCACTGATGAGCTATTGTAAATGCACCTTACAAATTATCAAGTATTTAAACCCAGAAATGCCTAAATGTTTTAAGGATATTTACTCGAGTAAGATTTGAGTAACTGGACACAATGGTTAAATATGGAAGGTTTAACCAAATTCCCCATGATCAAACTGTTTGTATTTGTAGAATCCCTGAGATACAGAACATAATACATACATAATTTGAATATCAGTGGCTTAAGGCAAAAATATTGGCTAAAGATAAAAAGGTGATTAGAAGAAATGATAGCACAACAAATAGATCTAAAACCATAACTGTTCTTATTAGGCATACTACTGGGAATATACAATAAAGGAATTACATCCTTAATGTTACATGTAATAACAGCAACTGGAATCAAAAATGCACAAAACTGGAAAAATGAATGTCAACTCAAAAAATATTTCTCCAGTTTTTTTTAGAGTTGCCAACAGAAAGGGAGGGGGAACAGCGGGCAGCTTGCATTCCACAAATGTTTTCAAAGATAGTAACTAGATGACTGAAGTTTCTGCTGCGCAAAATTCAAACTGGAGAACATGACTGATGACTCTTGGCTATGGATGTGTCCCATTGGTGAATATGAATTACGATACACCCAAGGAGTAGGAGGAAGATCAGGGTCAAGGGTGACAATGAATGATATGCCTCAGAGTTGGCTACACCCAGGCAGTGCTGGACATTTTAACTCCCAATAAATCCTTTTTAACTTTTGGAAAGTTTTGCTCAAGACTCATGCTTTAAATGGGGGTAACTGCCGGAATCCTGACAACGAAAGTATACCTATATATGAAAAGGTATTTAAAAAAATATTAGAATATGCTGAAATGGACAGGTTAATGATGGAAATTAAGGATAAAGGGGAAACAAAGTATTAAACATGGGAGCTACTGTACAAATGGTTAGAAAACAGATGCAGAGATTAGTAACTTTAGGATGGAAAAATAATAACAAAATAGTACATACATACATAAATACATGTGTGTGTGTGTGTGTGTGTATGTTACAAGTAATATTACTAATGGATTATACTTGACTACACATTATAGTCTATAGAGTGACCAGAGGAGAAGACTATATGATATAACTATGAGAAAAATGGTTATAATTATGATGTAAAATTATATATATATAT